CTGATCTCCTGCCTCCACCTCCAGAGTGCTGGGATTACAGGCATGTGCCATCAGACCTAGCTTCCTTGCTATATTTCCAAGCATATGCTTTGTCTCTCCCACCCACACCCTAATGACCAGTATGATACCCAATATTGATTTCCTTTGCAGTATCTAGTACAGTGAGTCTGCAAGTGTGATACAACAGTAGCAGCAGCACCTTGGAAACTTGTTAGATACTACAAAAAATAAAATAAAGCGTTTTAAAAGAAGCGTACTAAACATGCAAACTCTTAGCCAGGCACTGGTGGCACACGCCTTTAATCCCAGCACTCAGGAGGCAGAGGCAGGCAGATCTCTATGAGTTCCAGGATGGCCTGGTCTACAAAGCGAGTTCTAGGACAGCCAAGGTACACAGAGAAACCCTGTCTTGAAAAACCACACACAAACAAAAGTATTCAAATAAGGGAATAGACCTTGATGGCTATCTCTAGGGATGTATCTATGGTTTACAAGGAGAGGGAAGGGAAAGGGCAAGGCCGGCCAGCGTCATGTTTGCCATGACCAGGCCTGCTAGAGCCCTTCAGACATAAGAACTTGTCTTAAAAAAAAATCAAAGACATAATACTAATAATTTATTGAATTATTAAGACTAAATCGATGAAATATGCCCCATGATGAAAAGCCAGAATAATTAGCAAGAGAAAATTAATAATGACTCTTGAATCTTAGATATTTGAATAAATTTTAGCACTGAGATAATTCTTACATTCCAACCAAGCCTCAACCCTCTACCTAAAGAAACTTTCAACTCTAAGTTTCTTTCAAGGTAGAGAGTAAAAGATTCCAGGAAAGTTCCGTGTCAGAGACACCTTTGCACCTGCTTCCTTCCCACAGCCTTTTCTCTGCTTGTTTAATAATCCCATTTTTTTCCATACCCAGAGCTTTCACATGAGCCCAAAATCCTGGGTGGGGGTGGGAGAAAGGAGTCAGGGATGATCAACATTATTATTGAAAGAACTTAGCATGCTTGCTCCCAAGAGAATGTTTTATTTTGAAGAAACAATCAAATGCTTAAGGTATAAAATTTCAAACACTTCTGAGAGAGACTTTGCCTTTTTAGAAAAAAGACTCTTGTCTTCGTTTATTTATAGGGGCCTCAAATGCTATGGGCCTAGAGTAACGTGATATGGGCCCTGAAGATTTAAATCACCTGCTGTTATCAAGGAAACCCAAGTTCTACTGAAGAGGTCTGCGGGTTCTATTGGTCTTTTACCTTGATGGGGGAGGATAAATAGCAGGCTGCCAGAGGCAGTTTAACAGCCCAGCCACAGCCTTCACAGGGTCAGTATCCTTCTGTTGTCTCTTTCTCGCTTATATTCTTGTCCTTGTCCAAAAAAAATTTAAAGACTCTCTATGCCAAACCAATCTTGTTTTCTGCCCACTCTGATATACACTCCCCAATCAAATAGGACCATGGTTTCTGTCTACTGGGGGTGTGCTATGTTTGTTTCTGACTTCACTTATATATGCTTTTCCTGTTGCTGAGCCAAATCCTATTCAAACTTCAGGGTCTTGTTCAACAGTCCTAAATCCAGTTCTTCCTAAATTCCTACAACACTGGGTCTGCACTCATGTACTTTACATCTAAATTGGATTCAGCCTCCATTTATTTAGTTTTATTCATTTATTTGGATTTTGAGATAAAGTCTCATAGAACCCTGGTTGACTTTAAACTCAATATGTAGCCAAGGGTATCCTGAACTCCTGATTCTCCCACCTCCATCTCCTAAGTGCTGGGATTACAAGTGTGCACCATCCTGCCCAGTTTAGGTTCTACCTTTAAATGCACATTTCATATTATATTCCCTCCCCACTTCCAGTGAAAAATTCCTGGAGCCTGGCAACACCAGCTGGTACGAGGGAAAACCTACACTTCAGAATCAGACTCTGATTAATGTAGCTCAGTACAGTGAACTGAGCCTTACGACTTAGTGGCTAAGAGCCCAGATTCTAGACCCAGGTCACTTGACTTTCCATCCCTACTCTACTAATTACCAGCTGATCCAGTTTATGTACCTTTAAATGTGATTATATTGATTAATAATTTCTATCTCATGGGGCTATTTTATTAAATTGATTAGTATATGTAAAGTGTAACCTAACTATTTGCTACATATCCAATATTTCAATGTTCTACATGTATTACTTCAAACAATATTAATAATGCTACTGAAGCCGGGCGGCAGTGGTGCATGTCTTTAGTCCCAGCACTCGGGAGGCAGAGCCAGGCGGATCTCTGTGAGTTTGAGACCAGCCTGGGCTACAGAGTGAGTTCCAGGACAGGCGCAAAACTACACAGAGAAAACCTGTCTTGAAAAATAAATAATAATAATAATAATGCTACTGAAACATGCAAGCCTTGTAACTTTAGGCTATCCTCACAATTGGTTTTCCTAATCTATTAAATGATAATCCCTTATACAACTATGGAAGTGATTAAATGACTTGTTACATGTGTATGTTTAGCTTAGGGCCTGGTATATTGGATTAAATATACCAAAAATGAACTAAAATTTTGATTTTGAAGGTGTACTGAGCTTGTCCTATCACTTTCTGTGGAATTCTGTATTTGGCTCCCCATAAAGAAAGGGGACAGGTTGAAAGATGGGCTTATGTGGCAACAGGTAGTCTTTAGGAACTTATCAAAAAGATTATACTTTAGTTCCTTCTGTGAACTTGAAGAACCCTTCTAAAAATATTTAGTTACTCCAGAGCAAGGCCTAGTAATGGTGGCAGTAGCCTGGTAACCTAGTAACTATCAACCAGAATCCCCTGAGGAACTCTTAAAGCTACACTCAGCCAGCCTGCACTTTTAAGATTCTGATCCAATAGTTCTGGAATGGCCCTAAAGGATCTGTCACTTTAAAACTTTCTGGTGATTCCTACATGCAACTAGACTGAGAATCACTTCTCTAAGACTTCACTATGACATCAAAACTTTCCAAACTTCTGAGAAACGTAGAACCTATGGTGAGAGGAGAGGAACTGAACAGGAAGCTTGGACAGCAAGCTGATTTCCTTTCTTAACTGAGAGTACTGTGCTTTCTGTCTTCTCAAACTTCTTCCTTTGACACTTCCCTTGGGATTGAGGGACAGTGCTTGGAGAATAAGGTGAGTCTCACCATCCTTATGCTAGGTTCAAGTCTGAAGGTAACTTTGAGGAGTCTGACATGTTAAATCAAATGGCCTGTATCATAGTCATGGCCTCCCTCCATGGAAAATGTAGTTTTTGATTAATGAACAAACCAATATAAGCTGTAGTCACTGTGACTCCTCCAGCAATCTTTGTTTCTTAAAACCAGACTTATCAGTGTGACCAAAATTCATACTTTTCCTAGGCCACTGGCTGAAATAACAGGTTTTCTGAAGACTACACATAGATATTAAAACACATTTTTCATTATCCTTTTTTTGGAGGGGTGTTTTTTATTTTTATTGTTGTTGTTGTCTTTTTTTTTCTATTTTCTTTCTTTCTTTTTTCTTTTTTTTTTTTTTTTTTTGAGACAAGGTTTTTCTGTGTAACAGCCCAGCTGTCCTGGAACTCTCTTTGTAGACCAGGCTGGCCTCGATCCACCTGCCTCTGCCTCCCAAATGCTGTGATTAAAGGCGTGTGCCACCACTACCTGGCTCCATTATCTTTTTTTAATCTAAAGATAATTATATATAATAATAGATTTTACTAGCTTTAATTTTCCAGAAAGTCGATTAACTTTAAGTATCCATGACTCAAATACAATCATTAATAAGCAGTGAAGGCATAAAGAATCTGGCTTGTGTTCCCAAAAACTATCTGAGTCTAAATCCCTGGATTTAATCACTAAAATGCTGTCAGGAAAATCTGACATTTAACAGTCTAGCTCTATGCCCTTTGTCTATGCTCTAGGCATGGTACACAGCCAAATTGAAATGGGCTATTCTAGGGCACTTTTCTATCCCTATTGTTTATGCCACTCTGCCTTGATCTTTTGTGTTACACACACACCACCACCAACAACAACACTACCACCACCAAACTATACATCACTGTTTTGCAGAAATCTCAGCTATAGCTGTTGCCTGGAAACTTGGAAGTCCTTGAAATGAATGTCTACTTGGATAGCTAAAGACAGCTAGCCATAGGGGAGAGTGAGACTCATATTGGCAGTAAAATGCAGCAACTTTGAGATGGTTTATTTTCAGCTCAGTTCTAGAAGTCTTTACATGTTAATATCCACAAGTTTAGTGATTTCAGGCTAGCATTCTTAGGTAAATGTAAGTGGCCTAAACTCGGACTTTATGTTGTGGTTCTTCTGATTCCTTCTCAGTGGTTATGCTGAATTATCTGACAATTAGTAGCTCAGTTTTAGAAAAGTTGGAGGGAAGGGAGAGTGAGAAACACTTAAAGGAATCAGCTCCCCAGTCTTACTTTAAATAGTGCACAAATGTTGAATTTCATCATAGTCAGGTCTGTGGTTTTTCCAGGGATTCTTGCCTGTTTAATATTCTATTTGGGAAGTAAGCACTCTATTTAAAGCAACCTATGAGTATGTATAATGTTAAATTTTGACTTCCCAAAACAAAGAAGCAGAGACTTTCCCCTAAGGTCTAACCAGCTAAACTATCGCTCTTGTTATTCAAATATGTCTTTGTGAGTGGTGTGTGTGTGTGTGTGTGTGTGTGTGTGTGTGTGTGTATGTGTGTGTGTGTGCGCGCATGCTTGTGGGAATCCCCAGATGGTAAAAAGAGGGTGTGGGATCCCTAGGAGTGGGTATTACCAGAATTTGTCAGCCACCCAATTTGGGTGCTGGGATTTGAACTCTAGGCTTCATGACTGAGCAGAAACCAATCTTAACTGCTCATCTCTCCAGCCCCAATACCACATTGCTTTTAAGACTAGAAAATTGGCCTATGTCAAGACAACCTGATCTTAAGTGGTAATCTTTTCTTTTCCAACCTATGTTTCCTGCCTTTTAGGACTAATGGAGTTAGAAGCCATAGAACTCTGTCCTTATGATCCAAACCACAGGATACCAGCCAGCAGGTTACAGTACCATCTGGCATCATGCAAAAAGGTAAGTTTCCCCAATGACAACTAGAAACTAGTCATTCTTAAAGTTGAGACATAATATCTTTCTAGTATTTTCAGAAATGAGTAACCTAACAAGAATTTTTCCTTCTAGAAAAATCCAAAGATAGCTAAAAAGATGGCTAACTGCAAATATAATGCTTGTCATGTGGTCCCAATCAAAAGGCTCAAGGAACATGAGGCCAACTGTGTCAACAGAACTGCAGTTGATGATGGTAAGCTTTTCATTTGAGCACATGTAGGTAATACCAAATTCTATGGCTTCCTACATCCCCATATCTCATAGTTACTTAAAGCCTTGGCTAAACAGAGCAGATAAAAATTTTTGTCTATTCTACTTCAACACTTTCTTTTCTACTTTGTTTCAGAGCCACTTAATCTTCTAAAGATTACTTGTCCAAGTTTTGAAGGAAATGAAAACTCCAATGCTGGCAATCAGATTACTGACCCCGATGTCTGGAATGTGGGTAAGCAAGGGTGAAACTGAACACAGCTGTGAACAGAAGTGTTCTTTAGAACTAGGAGACAGTAAACACAGCCCTGATTAATAAATCTTTATGCTTATCTCACAAAACCCTTCATTACATTAAATTACTAAGTTTAAGAATGCCACCTATCTCTAGAGGGGTGGCCCAGTTAAAAATAATAGTCTCGCCGGGCGGTGGTGGCGCACGCCTTTAATCCCAGCACTCGGGAGGCAGAGCCAGGCAGATCTCTGTGAGTTCGAGGCCAGCCTGGGCTACCAAGTGAGTCCCAGGAAAGGCGCAAAGCTACACAGAGAAACCCTGTCTCGGAAAAAAAAAAAAATAGTCTCACTGAGCTAAAGGCCAGCGTCCCATGGCTGCAGCCTTTGACCAGGGCTGAGCCTTTATCAGCCAAGGTGGCCATACTTTGCATGCCTCTGGATTTGCATGGCAGAGATTGTGCAGCTAGAAATTTCAGACACAGCAGCTCACACTCAGGTCCTAATATCATACACTGGCCCTAACCAAACAAGTACATCCCCCAGTTGGAGACACTGCCCCCTGCACCTCCATGTAGTCCACAGCCTTGGACAGTAACAAGGGTACTGTTGTTACTGCCCAGCCCCTCTGCCTTCCTTCAATGTACTCAATAAACAGTTGCTCCTTAAGCAAGCAAAGTGTATTCAATAAACTATTGTTCCTTAAAAAAAAGTCATCTAACTAAAATCTAAATTCACTCATTTAAAAAAAATTTATCTTGCCGGGTATTGTGATTTATCTGTAATCCCAGAACTCAGGGGGCAGAGGCAGGAGGATTCTGTGAGTTCAAGTCCAGCCTGGTCCAAGAGAGCCAGAACTATATAGAGAAACACTGTCTCAAAAAGAAAGAAAGAAAACCAAAATAAATAAAAAGACTTTGTCAGACAGTGATTGTCACTCCTTTTATGCCAGCACTTTGAAGGCAGAGGCAGGTGGATCTCCACGTTCAAGGCCAGTCTGTTTACAGAGTGAGTTCCATGACAGCCAGGGCTACACAGAGAAACCTTGTCTCTAATTTTAAAAAGATCTCACCAGTTTCAGTCCAAACTAGACTTGGCTATTAAGGGATTTATTTCTTAAACACATCCTCTAAATGCTCATCTATAAAAGGCTGCCTCATAATCAAACTTAATAATTAAATATAGAAAAGGGCTTTGCAGTGGCACAGCACTTGCCTAGCATGCACTAGGCTCTATCCCCAGCACTGTAAAACAATAAAAATAACTAAATGAGTATGTTAGAACAATGTTTCTTCCCATAATATAAATTCTAAATTATGTTAATATCATAATTTAAAATCTCAGTGCAAGTATTGTGCTGACTAGTTTTATGTCAACTTGACACAAGCTAGAATCATCTGAGAGGAAGGAACCTCAATTGAGAAAATGCCTCTACAAAATCAGGGTGTAGGTAAGCCTGTAGGGCATTTGCTTGATTAGTGATTGATGTTGGAGGGTCCAGCCCATTGTGGGTGGTGCCACTCCTGGGCAGGTGGTTCTGTGTTCTATAAGAAAGCAGGCTGAAGGCTGGGAAGGTGGTGGTACATGCTTTTAATCCCAGCACTCAGAAGGCAGAGACAGATGGATCTCTGCAAATTCAAGGCCAGCCTGGTCTACAGAGAGAGTTCCAGGACAGCCAGGGCCACACAGAGAAACCCTGTCTCCAAAAGCCAAAAAAAAAAAAAAAGAAAGAAAGAAAAAAGATAAAGAACAGGCTGATCAAGGCAGTAAGTGGCACCCCTTCTCGGCCTCTGCTTTAGTTCCTGTCTCCAGGATCCTGTCCTGACTTCCCTCACTGGTACACTGTTACCTGGAAGTGTAATTGAAATAAACCCTTTCGTCCCCAAGTTGCTTTTGTTCATTGTCACAGTAATAAAAACTCTAAGACAGAAATTCAGTGGATAATAACAACATGAGGATACAAGTTCGTTTCATCTTGTGGCTGTCAACCTTCCACATTTAGCTTCCAAAGATAACATACAAAGGAGAATGGAAATGTACAACTGCCTTTAACCACCTAATTTGAGAAGATACTTATATTTCCATTCCTCTGGTAAAAGCAGTCACATAATCATACCTAAACGTAAGGGGTAGACATGTGGTCCCTGGCAGAGCTGCTCCCCAGCAACAAAGGGGACAAAGAGCTCTGCTACCAACAATCTGAAAATGCTCAGGACTTGTGTTTCTTCTTCCTCATTCCTTCTAGATCATATGCATCATTCTCCTTCATTTGTTCTTGAGACTTTTGCTCCAAAAATGCTGGTTTGTGAAAGGTAAGATAAACTATATGCCATCACCATCATTCAAGGTAATAAGTTGACTCTTTTTTTTTTCTAATGTTTGTTTGTTTTTAGCATGGCCAGGGCATTTGTGGGCAGGTCAAAGGACAACCTGTTGTCAACAGTTTTCTCCATCCACCCATGGACTCTGGGTTTTAAACTCAGGTTGTAAGGCTTGGCGGTATGTGCTTTTGTCCACTCAGCCATCTCACCAGTCTTAAAGTTGGACATTGAAAGGGAAGATGGCCATTAGACCAGAGGCTGAAAATGTATGAGCTTTAGTCACTAACTCAAAAGACCTGTGGTCAGGGCTGTGGAGTGGCTCAGCTGGTAAACGCTTGCTGCACAAACGTGAGGACCTGAATTTAGATCCCAGGCCACATAAAATAGTCAGTATGGTAGTGTGCACCTATAATCAGAGCACTGAGAAAGCGGAGACAGGAGGTTCCCTGAAACTTGCTGGCCAGGTAGTCTCACCAAATCAGTAAGCTCCAGGTTCAGTAGGAGATCTCATATCAAAAAAATAAGGTGGAAGCCTAGTGAGATGTTCCAGTGGATAAAATGTGCTTCTTGCCAAACCTGGCAGCCTGCATTCAATCCCTAAGACCCATATGGTAGATGAACCACCCCATAAATTGTCCTCTGACCTACACACACAATGGCTCAGGAGTTAAGAGTACTTGATGCTCTTCCAGAGGACCGACGATTGATTCCCAGAACTCACAGCAGATCATAGCCATCTGTAACTCCAGTTCCAGGAATCAAACATGTTCTTCTGGCCACCATGGGCATGAGGCACCCACCATGTGGTGCACAGACATATATGCAGACAAAACACCCATATGCATAAAATTTTACATTTTTTAAAATAAATAAGTGGAAAACAGTTGAAGAAACATCCAACACTGACCTCTAGCACATAGGCACCTGCACACACATACACACCGCATAATTACACACCACATACAAACATAAAAATGTGTGTGAAGGGGGCACTTTCCTTCTCAATAGTTCACTTGGGACTATATTCCATCAAGGCCTTGTATATACAACATAATCCTGTATAGAATAAAAGACCAACTTCTCAGAATTAAGGGGACCATCTATACACAAATAGCTCAGGATCCCTACCCAAACAAGCTTGGAGAGCACATACAAGGGTTACAGGGGCCATTGATGGAGTCTCCTACCACATGAGAAGGAAAGGCATAAAGGAACCATATGAAACAAGACAAATCAAATTATTCCTACTCTAACCCTGAGTAACATCAATTCTATTGGATAATGTTACTCTGACTGCCTGGAACTGGATATATCAGCTCATTCCCCATTCCTGCTTCCCTATTAACTTTTTTCTTGTGGTTCTCTCCTACAGTGACTCAAGAGATCTACAAGAGGCTGTGACTGATAAACATCCTAACAGCTACAAGTCCTGGGGAAGAGGTAAAGTCCACCTTTGTCAAGTTAACATCAAAGTTTTAACATTGTGATCTAAACTTTCAAAGATTCTTAGACAAACCTTTCTTCTTTTTTTTTTTTTTTTTTTTTTTTTGGTTTTTCGAGACAGGGTTTCTCTGTGTAGCTTTGCGCCTTTCCTGGATCTTGCTCTGTAGACCAGGCTGGCCTCGAACTCACAGAGATCCGCCTGCCTCTGCCTCCGAGTGCTGGGATTAAAAGCGTGCGCCACCACCGCCCGGCTCAAACCTTTCTTCTTAAAAAAAAAAAAAAAAATTAAAGCTATTGGGTGGTGGCGCACACCTTTAATCCCCAAACTCAGAAGGCAGAGGCAGGCAGATCTCTGTGAGTTCAAGTCCACCCTGGTCTACATGAGTTCCAGGCCAGCCAGGGTTACAGAATAAGACCCCCCCCATCTCAAAAACTAAATAATTTATTAAAATATTGGTCTGGGGATTCAGCTCAGTGATAGTGCTCCTGCCTCATAGGCACTTGGTCCTGGTTCAATGCCTAGGGAAAAAAAAATAATATTATTCTGTTCCTCCTCAACCCACACGAGGATACAGGAAAGTCCTAGGGACTTCAGGTCAGACACTGGAGACAAGGCTGTAGTTTTTAAATGCTTCTGGCACACCTCAAGCTGTGAAAACGACACGACTTCAATCTTTTTCTTTCCCCTACAGGTCAGAAAAACTGATGGAAACATTACAAACTGAAGTGCCAGCAAACAGCTAGAACTTGTTTTTAAACCTTAGGAAAATCTCAGCTTTTAAGTAACAACCCTGGTGTCTGCCATCTTAACATGTTTTTATTTAAATAAAGAATATTTTCCTTTGACAAACTTACTTGATTTCTTATTCCTCCTTGTTTTTATATCCGCATGTGTCAGTCACCTGAATGCTACAGAGCTCATTTGCCTATTTCTATTATTAGAAGAGGAATTACCGTCGGTCTGCGGGCTGTGAAACTATTCCACGATTAGATTATTCATTCCCCAAGTTTTCCCTCACTTATTGTCATGTATTGTGTGACCCTCCAATCACCCTTCTTCAATCTGCTATACAAATCTCCCGTGCTTTTAAAGGACATATTTTTTATGACAAGCTGAGTTTGGAACATAGCTCTAGATCTACCTTAATAACTCTGTCGGCTTGACTCGTCCTCATCTTACTACACCTTGCTTTTCACTGTTTTTAAATGCCATTCTTCGCCCTTTAGCCATTCAAAGCCCTTTTCTAGCTTTCTTCAAGTCCAGCTCTTGCCACACTAAAACCTTTCCTGTCTCCTTCAGTGATTGCTAACATGGCAGTTAAAAAGACAATTTTCTCCTTTCTACCATGCCACCAATCTCAAGAAAAGTCAGAATTGTATGTTTCTTTGTATTTCCCACACACCAGCCTGGCACTATATGTGTAAGACATACCCAAGCGCTGGATACTTTCTACTGAGACAGGTCCCACTGTAATCCAGGTTGGCAAGCCAACAGCAACTTCTTTTAAGCTGTATCTTTTTTTTATATTTTTATATTCTTCTCTCATGCAATACATCCCCACCACAGTCTCCCCTCCCTCCACTCCTCCCTGTCCCTACCTCACCTCCCATCTCCCTCAGATCCACTGCTCCTCTATTTCCCTTCAGAAAAGATCAGGCTTCCCAGTGACATCAACAGAACACTGCATAACAAGATTCAATAAAACAAGGCACAAATCTTCACATCAAGGCTGGACCAGGCAACCCAGTAGGAAAAGTGTCCCAAGACCCTGAAAAAGAATCAGAGACAGCCCCTCTCCCACTGTTAGGAGTCCCACAAACACCCCAAGGTAAACAACCATAGCATGTATGCAGAGGACCTAGCACAGGCTTCGTGATTGCTACTTTAGTCTCTGGAGTCCCTGTGAGCCCTCCTTAGTTAATTCTGCTGTGGGCTGTGTTCTCCTGGAGTCCTCAACCCCTCTGGCTCCTACAGTCTTTCCTCCCCCTCTTCTACAGGGTTCCACCTAATGTTTGGATGTGGGTCTCTGCATCTGCTCCCATCAGCTGCCAGAGGAAGTCTTTCTGATGACGATTGGGCTAGTCTATGAGTATAGCAGAATATCGATAGGAATCATTACATTGACTTTTTTTCTTGTCCATGTTTGGTTCTACCCTAGGTCTCTGAGCCATCCAGCTAAACTGTATCACTTTACTAAATTTACTGACCCTTTTTAAATAATGACATTGGGAGGTTTTTTGTTTTGTTTTTAGTTTTGTTTTTCTAGTTTGTTGTAATCAAGACATAGTTAGACTTAAAAATATGCAGTCTGCAGACTGGAGAGCATGAGAGCAGGAAAACTGGCCCTGCCTCTTGCAGCCTGCTGCATTGGGTAAGCTAGCTGGGGCAGTACTGAAAAGATCACCCTGGAAGGAAAGCTGGTGGGCTGACCAACCCAGCTACCACCCAGGCCCAGAACCAGTGTTATGAGTTGGCCTACCCCAACATCCACTTCATCTATGAACTACTGGAACATGTGAAGGGGCCAGATCTGCAGGTGCAAAGCTACAGAATCCCCATGACACTAGACAGCAACAGGATATCCAGGAGGAGTCCCAGTGAGAGCCCAGTATCAATAGAGCAGCAGAAGCCAGAAGCTTTGAGCCAGACAAACAATTCGTTGCAGAGAACATTTACAAGTAAAAATGAATGGACTAAGGTATATACAGTGTGACTCACTGAGTCACACTACAGCTTCCAAGCCAAAAACTTTTTTTTTTCCTTTTTTTTTGTTTTGTTTTTTTGTTTTTTGGGGGAGGCGGTTGTTTTGTTTTTTAGGTTATTTTGGGGGCAGGCCACAAGGGCAGAGGGCAGAGGTGAGGGGACAGGGAAATGAGTAGGATTGGGATGTATGATGTAAAAATCCACAAAGACTCAATAAAAACTTTAATATATATATATATGCATGGGTGCAGTGGTGGCACACGACTTTAATCCTAGCACTTGGGAGGCAGAGGCAGGTGGATTTCTGTGAGTCCGAGGCCAGACTGGTTTATAAAGCAAGTTCCAGGATAGCCAAGGCTAGACAGAGGGTTCCTGTCTCGAATCACATCCCCCCACACAGAAAAAAAAAATGTTATCATACAAATGAATATTTATAGCCTTTTGAGACTCACCCCTGCACAAGTTCACTAGAGTCTTTTCAAATGATCTGTTTTTTCCAATTATGGCAAAACCAGAACAAAACTGAACTAGCAATTTAATATTCCGTGTGTCCTCCTACATACATTGTACTAAGGAGACCTACTAAAGTTCTCCCTTAAATTTATATAATATTAACAATTTTGTTTCTTTTTGAAGGTTTCTCAATACATAGTCCAGGCTAGCCTCAAACTCAAAATTCTCCTGTCTCAGCTTCCTTCAGTACTACAATTACAGGTGTTTACCACTTTGTTTTTGTTACCCTAGTTTATCTTGAACTCTTGAACTGAAGTGAGCCTCCTCACTTCGAAGTAGCCTGGGACTACAGACGTTTCTCAGCCATACTCAGTTTGCTTTCATTTCCTAACTAAGGAATTACACATTTCAATGTGTTGTAGTTTTGAGTTGTTGTTGTTGTTTTGTTCCTTTGAGACAGGGTTTCTCTGTGTAGCCCTGGCTGTCCTGAAACTAGCTCTGTAGACCAGGCTGGCCTCAAACTCACAGAAATCCACCTGCCTCTACCTCCCGTGTGCCAGGATTAAAGACATGTACCACCACACACAGCTGTTTTTGTTTTTTTAAGACAGGGCCTGGATGGAGACTGATATGTTGTTCAGTTGGTAAAGTGCTTTCCATACAAGCATAAGGATCTGAGTTCACATCACCAACACACACATAGAAAGCCAGGTGTGGTTGTATACAGCTGTAATCCAAGTACAAGAGACAGGATTCCTGGATCCCACTAGCCAGCTAGTCTTGCCAAGTCAGTAAAATTCAGTGAAAGACACTGTTGAAAAATAAGGTGATATGACTCAGCTTGCAAGGGCTCTTGCTACCAAGCTTGACAACCTTAAGCTCCATCCCTGGAACCCACATAGGAGACAACAAACTCCTTCAGGTTGTCCTCTAACCTCACACGTACTGTAGCATGCATGTTATGCATGTTACACACACACACACACACACACACACACACACACACACACACACGTCCTCACGTAGCTTAGGCTAGGCTCAAACTCACTATATAGCTAAGAATGACCTTCAACTTCTAATCCTCCTGTCTCCACCTTTCAAGTGATGGAACTGTAGGCATACCCCTGTTGTGGAATATTACTTTAACTAGGCAAAGATGTGTTTCATTTGTTTCTGCTGCATTTGTTTAATTATGAAAAGATGTGTTTTATTTGTTTCACCTTGCCTACTTAAGGCATCTGAATGATCAATGTCTAGACAGAGAAGGGGAAAGGCATGGCTGGAGGGCAGAAAGAATAAATAGGAGAAATCTAGGCTTGAGTAGAATGAGATAGAAAAAGAGGGAGACTCCCCCCTCCAGCCAGCCAGCTGCCAGGCAGACACAAGAAGCAGTGAAAGTAAGACATACAGAAAGTAAGAAAGGTAAAAAGCCTCAGGCACAAAGTGGATTTTTACGGGAATTCTGTCACCATCAACTAGCCCATTGCGATGAGCATTTATTTTTATTTATTTATTTGTTTATTTGTTTGTTTGTTTGTTAATTTTTGGTCCAAGAGGCAGGGTTTTCATTGGGGATGGACATGACCAGGAGAAAAGGCAGAGTGGAGGGGTGCTCGGGCAGAACATCGAGCAATAGTAGATATTGGCAGTGGCTTGTGATTCGGCTCAGGTTCCTCTTTTGTTTTTTAATATTTGTACATGGGATTTTGCATTTTAATAAACCATAAAAAATTTCTAACAGAGAACATGTTAAGTTAAAAGAGCTAGCCAGAAACAAGCCTAAGCTAAGCCAAGCATTCAAAACTAATAAGTCTCCATGTCATGATTTAGGAGCTGGTTTGTGGCCTAAAAGAAAAAGCCTGGCCGGGCGGTGGTGGCGCACGCCTTTAATCCCAGCACTCGGGAGGCAGAGCCAGGCGGATCTCTGTGAGTTCGAGGCCAGCCTGGGCTACCAAGTGAGTCCCAGGAAAGGCGCAAAGCTACACAGAGAAACCCTGTCTCGAAAAACCAAAAAAAAAAAAAAAAAAAAAAGAAAAAGCCTGGTACCTACCCCACCATATACCTGTCTTCACATTCTGGTTCTTAAAATACATTTTGACTTTTTGTTTGTTTGTTTGTCTTTTGTTTTTGAGACAGGGTTTCTCTGTGTAACAGCCCTGGCTGTCCTGGAACTCACTCTGTAGACCAGGCTGGCACATGCCTTTAATCCCAGTACTCAGGAGGCAGAGGCATGTGCCATCACTGCCTAGCAAACACTTTGACTTAACAGACTATAAAGACAAAAGAATGTTCCCTAGGAATATGGCCAAATATCATCATTTTAGACCTTTATTATATTTTTCTATGTGGAATCAATAGATCATGAAGTCTTAGTTTCAGTGACCACATATTCTTTCTTCCAACAAGGACATTTTTAAGCATGAAAGTAAGCACTACCAATATTTATCCTAGGACAACAGGACACACCAAGTTGGTCATCCTATTCCTAACAGATAAAAGATCATTTATATGGTTGTATTATTCAAAATATAGGTGCCAGACATACTCAA